AAAAAAAAAAGGAAAAGCAAAAGAAAAAAAATGGAAATACATTTTTATAAGATTTACTTCGTCCCTCGTGATGAATTTCATTTCGTCTCGCGAAACTATGCAAACCATTTTCACTCAATTGTAAAACAAATCATTGAAAGAACCAGAAATTTTTCTAAAGATCCTTTTCTACTTCGAGGCTCTTGAAATGAAAAAAAAAAAAAAGAAAGAAAAAAAATATTAAATGAAATATGGTAGTATATTTTACAAAATGATTGTACTCATAGATTATTTTTGTATGCATTTTATCAATGACAATGGAAAGCAAAAGAAAAAGAGAGAATAAGGGAGAGCGAGAATGAAAGAGTGGGAGAGAGTGGAAAAATATCAAAAATCTATCGAATAAAACAAGATTATCAAAACATATATTTTTTTATATCCGGAACGATTTTCTTATCATTTGTGCACGACGTAACTTAATAAATTAATTTCAATCCGACGAAAAAAAATAAAAAATAATAAAACAATCAAAACAGCTGTCGTATAGAAAGAATAATGAAAATAAGAATAATGTTAATGGTAATCATGCATTTGTTTTATGTCTATTACTGTTACGTCATTGTGATTTTTCTAATAAACGATTGTATGAAAAATTAATTCTTTTTGCTCATTTTCTTTTTTCATTTTTTAAAAATAATAATTTTTATTTCAATTTTTACAGTATAAAATATTTGTTATAAATTTTAATAGGTGAAATAAAATAGCGCAATATTATAAATATATATCACAAAATCAATGATTGATAAGAATTAATCTGAAAAAAAAAATATAAGTTGCTTGATAACAAAAAATTGAAATTAAAATAACGAAATACTTATATCCTATGGATGATTGATCATTAATACTTGTTCTGTAATATTGTTTCTAGGTCGCAAGCATATCACTTTGTAATACCGACTATTACCGCTAGATGGTTCCAAGTGTTACTATTCTCGTTAGCATTATCAATACAAGCAAGTATAATAGCCGGAGATTTAAAG